CGTGCACAATGACACTCTGTTACGCTCAAATATACTGGGTCAGGGAAAGGACAGGAGGTCAGACTTCGTGAACTGACACACCTTTGTTGTTCGTCAGGGACGTGAAGTTGAGACCCAGAGCTCTGTAATTTTATTCCTTTACTGCTTAATAAACTACATTAACTGAGACCGAATATCTTCTCCTATTGCTTCATTAAAGAACACGCAGGACTGAGCTCACACATAGCACATTAGAGAGTAGGATGAGACTCTTAGTCCAACAACATGTAACAAACAACGTGTTGTATCTGCTTATTTGCTATCAATCTGATGTTTCCTGCCATCACCTGCACCAAGTTATGAGGACTGACAGCACTGTGCACAGGGCATGTGCTTTTGAATGTGTTCATATATATAATAATGTAAATGATTTATTCTAATAACTGCATTACCTTCCTTCAAGACTGTTTAATCATCAGAAAACAATGTACTCATAGAGATGAAGCATTGTCTGGATGCCAAATTAAAAAAAAATTACAATCTGATCACTGTTGCAAGAAGTCATTTCCTTTTAGCCTCTTTTTTATACAAACAAAATCAAAATGAAGTTTTTATTCTGTCTGATTAAGTTATTTTGCTTCTGATGAATCTAAAAGCTGAAAGACATGTCGTTAAAAGCTCCATCACCTGTTATTGCATGAGAGACAGTAAGTGACGTAACATCATGTGGTGTTATTTAAGGTTTGAGTTGTGTTTGAGGAGCTGATGTGAACACTGACATGGTGCTTGGAGTTTGTAAAGAGTAAGTGAGAGCTGAGGACACCCTCTAGTGGAGATTATGACAAACTGCAGCCTGTGGCCACATGAGGACATGCTGTTCGTAACTAACTCCTCAGTCTGATGCTGAAGCAGATAACATGGATGCCGGAAAACAAGTAAATCTGAGTCTCAGTCTAATGTCATTAATGACCTTTTATTGTGTGTTTTGAGAACTCTTTCTCTGTCTTAAAGAGAAATTTTCAGATATCTGAAAGAGACAGAAGTGAATGTAATTTTGTGGGAGGCTGCTGCGTCATGATCCTGATGTGTTAAAGTGACTATCACAGGTAACAACAGGCTGCTGAGAAGCAGTTTGGGAGGTCTGTCCAACACACTGAGTCTATACAATGACCTCCACTTTTACTTTATGAGATGCTCTGTTATATTGTATACATAAAGGATGACAATAAACAGATCCTCCTCACCCTCTTTGTTACAAACATACTGTTAACAAACAGGTGCACAGATGTTCAGAAACTTAATCTGGATCAGAATGATGCAGATTTGGAAATCCCATGTTTTGCTGTGGATCAGCTGATCCATCTCACTTTTGTGTGGGTTTTTCAAAGATTACCGTGATCAAGACAAAGACTTTTCAAGATTACCATATCTGGTTTTATTTGAGGAGACAGAAAGAGCATGTGGGATGCAATTGTAAGAAAATACTTTAATATCAAGTGATAAAATAAATTACTGTTGCAAATGAATATTTTTGTTTAGTACTGACAGCTGTTTGGGGGATTATTCTATAGACACAAAATACATTCTTTTTAAGAAAAAAAAATGCAGGAACCCTTTGCCATGCAGTTATGTTGTTGTTGTGGCCTTATGAAGTATTTCAAAATAATAATAATAATAATAAATAGTAATAGTATTAGTAAAAAATAGTAAGAGATGACCATTTGTATTTATTTTTTCTTCCCTTATTTGTGGCGCCCCTATGGATGACAGCACCCTTAGAATTCCCCTATACTACCTATGCCATGCGGCTCAGACCACACAGGTGTCTCATGTTATTCTGAACTGCAGTGTTGGGATCAGAGCGTAAAATCAGCCTCTCTATCAGCTGTCACCCCGGGGATTAAATAAACTTTACACAATTAAAATGCAGCCAAAATCTTCATTGTATATTTAGTGATGTAAATCATCTCTACATTTGTTATTACTTGTTGAGTAATTGTGTCCTGTGGGTTACATGTGATGTAAAAAGGTTATAAAGTTTAACACTGAAATGATGTCAGGATTGTTTTGGGCTTGAGGAGACTGTATAGAGCGTGTTGCAGCCCCCTGATCCACTACAGGATGTTAATGCATGTGTTCACCTCTTTAGTTTTTTTTTGTCTGACGGTAACAGCATACTATAGATTCCAACATAACATAAATGAAACTAAGTCAAAAGGCTTGTGCCAAAAGTGCGTCACTATCAGGTCAAACCTGAAAGGCAACAAAACCTCACTTGCAGAGCAGAAAGAGGAGGAGCAAGACTGGAAAAACAGTTTAAATGTCACATTCCCCAAATGAAACTAGGCATTCGTGTGAACAACAGCAGACCTGCTGTCAAACAAGACGCTCCGATTCTGTCTAAACAAAAAAGCTGATTAAATCAGGTCTTTCTCAGCAACACATCAGTAACTCTGCCAAACACCAGTGAGTACAGCTTAAAATATTTAATGTTTTATTCAAGTTCATTCATGTTTTTAAGAAAATTAACAAACAAAAAAACTGCACCTCAACTCAGACAGGATGTTCCAAATTCCTAATTTCATGCTTTTAAATGAAACTTTTACTTTAGTGCTGAGTAACAAAATAATCTAAACCTACTTCCTGGTATTCTCGTTGATGGAGTTTATTTTTTATGACTAATCTAAAATTTTTAATCGTTTTGCTTCGTTACACTTTTACTTTTGTCCTCAGAGTGTAGATATGGCTGCTGCCAGCTGTCTGCTGACTGAACATCAGTTCCTGTGCTCCATCTGTCTGGATGTGTTCACTGATCCAGTCACCATACCATGTGGACACAACTTCTGTAAAACCTGCATCAATACACACTGGGATATTAATGTCCCCTATCAGTGTCCAAACTGTAAGAAGCTTTTCTACACCAGACCTGAGCTGCAGGTCAACACTTTCATCTCTGAGATGGCTGCTCAGTTCAGACAGTCAGCTCAACAGAAAGCCAGCAGCAGCAGCTCAGAGCAACAAGTTTCCAAACCAGGAGAAGTTCCCTGTGACGTCTGCACTGGAACCAAACTGAAGGCGGTGAAGTCGTGTCTGATGTGTCTGGTCTCCTACTGTGAGACTCACCTGGAGCCTCATCTGACGATCTCAGGCCTGAAGAAACATCAGCTGATCGACCCTGTGGAGAACCTGGAAGACAGGATGTGTCTGAAGCACGATAAACTGCTGGAGCTGTTCTGTAAGACCGACCAGATGTGTGTCTGCATGCTCTGCACTGTTTCAGACCACAAGACACATGATGTTGTTCCTCTGAGAGAAGAATATAAAGGAAAGAAGGCCGAGCTGGGGAAGACAGAGACTGAAATTCAGCAGATGATCCTGAAGAGACGACTGAAGATTCAGGAGATCAAACTCTCAGTGAAGCTCAGTCAGAGAGGTGCAGACAGAGAGATAGCAGATGGTGTTCAGGTCTTCACCGCTCTGAAGGAGTCTGTTGAGAGAAGCCAGGCCGAGCTCATGGACACGATCAAAGAGAAGCAGAGAAAGACAAAGAAACAGGCTGAAGGCTTCATCAAAGAGCTGGAACAGGAAATCTCTGAGCTGAAGAAGAGGAGCACTGAGGTGGAGCAGCTCTCACGCTCTGAAGACCACCTCCATGTCCTCCAAAGCTTACCCTCTTTAAAAACTGCTACACCTAACAAGGACTGGACAGAAATCAGCATCCGTCCACTTTCCTATGAGGGAACTGTTGTCAGAGTTTTGAATCAGCTGGAGGAGACACTCAGTGAACAGATGAAAAGGCTTTTTGAATCTGAATTGAAGAGAGTCCAGCAGTATGCAGTGGATGTGACACTCGATCCTGATACAGCACATCCCAACCTCATCCTGTCTGATGATAAGAAGCAAGTAAACTGTGGTGATGTAGTAAAGAATCTCCCAAACAATCCAGAGAGATTTGATATTTGTGTTGATGTCTTAGCAAAGCAGAGTTTCTCTTCAGGAAGATTTTATTATGAGGTTCAGGTTAAAGGGAAGACTGAGTGGGATTTAGGAGTGGCCAGAGAGTCGATCAACAGGAAGGGACAGATCAAACTGAGCCCTCAGGATGGTTACTGGACGATATGGTTGAGAAATGAAAAAGAGTATGAAGCTCTTGCTGACCCTTCAGTCAGTCTCTCTCTGAAGTCTCGGCCTGAGAAGGTGGGGGTGTTTGTGGATTATGAGGAGGGTCTGGTCTCCTTTTATGATGTTGATGCTGCAGCTCTTATCTACTCCTTTACTGGCTGCTCCTTCACTGAGAAACTCTACCCACTCTTTTGTCCTTGTAACAACAATGGTAGTAAAAACTCTGCCCCTCTGATTATCTCTCCTGTCCAGAGGCAGATCTACCGACGTGGCCTAGTGTGGAAGCTGCCCTAGTTTTGTACATTCTAATAAAAATAAATATACACGAAAAGTGGTGGCTGGTCAGAAATTTACAAGAGTGAATCTTCAATGTCCAAGAGATAACAGAGCTGCAATAGGACACGGAACCGATTTCACCTAGATGTCACTAACTGTCCGTGGTCAGCAGCTTTTTTTTCTTCTGTCCCTGGCAGCTTTTCGTGCTGCTTGGATTTTCCTGTCCCAGCAGCACACATCGGTGGCTTGTTTTCCTGGTAAATGTGTGTGTAGAAATATAAAACTACCGCAGATGGATACAGGCAGGTTGACTGTTGAAGCATGTTTTGTTTAAGAGATAAAAATAACTTGTGTTTGATTCTGTGAGAGACGGATTATTCATTCATTTTCCGTAATTGCTTATCCTGTTATGGCTCGCGGGGGACTGGAGCATATCCCAGCTGACACAGGCCGAGATGCAGGGTACACCAGACTATCACAAGGTTGACACATACAGATAAACAACACCAACCGGCACTTTGGAGTCACCAGTTAACCTGCATGTCTCTGGACTGTGGGAGGAAGCTGGAGAAAACCCACACTGACAGAGGGAGAACACGCAAACTCCGCAATGAGGGACTCCCTACCTTGGGCTTCGAACCCCCCACCCTGCATTTGAACCTAAGTTAACAGACAAAGTACTTCTGCCATCTATCTGTCTGTCTCTCTATCTATCAAAATACATCAATGATCACTGAAAACATTTTTGAGAATTTGGAAATAAAAAAATGATTTGATTTCTGATGCCACCTTTTGGTATTCTATTCAATGCTTTACTCGTAGAGTTTCAATGGTATGAAATTTTCACAGAACAATAACTGTCTCAGAAAATATTGCCATTTGACGATAAATGTTATTACACTATTTTATTATAATCAGTGACCATGACCTTCAAAGGAATAAAAACAGAAGGATGTTTTTTTGTTTTTTTGTTTATCGCTATGATTGAAACTTGAAACCAGGAAGTACATGTAAAAAGTCTCCCTTCTGAAAATAGCTAAAGGTCAGATTCTCCATCCAGTTGCATTTTTTCTAAATCAAATAATATGATAATTGTCAATTCTCATACCACAGTATACTCTGAAACAGATATATTGCTCCGACCCTACTCGTGTGTCACAATAATGTCATGTTTTTGAGTTAAAATATCTTCATTTGAGGGCTTTTCTAAGCAAATATGGACATGTGTGAATGTTTGCAATTCATAGATAGATTCTGAGTTTTGTTCTGTAAATGCTTACTTTGGTGCATCACAATGCAAACTGTGATTTAAACGCATGAATTGTATGACACTGATTGATATTATAGTTAGGTTTTATTCTAATAAGTGCAATACCTGCCTTCAAGACTGTTAATAAACAAAACAACGCACTCATAAAAGTTTATCTAATCTTCATTTGATCAGGAATTCCCTTGAGATTAAAACCTTGTTTTTGAGGGAGACCTTGTAATGAGAATTCCAAACATTGTAATGTCTAATCATTGGTGAAATAAGAAGTGTTGCATACTGTCACTAATTACTGAAGTCTTTCGAGAAAATGTCGGTGAATGTTGGACCTATCCACCAACACACCCACCCACCCTACTGGGACACTGGGAACAACTGAAAAAAAGATGCTGGCGCCAAGAAAAAAAAACTAGGCTGAGGACACTATCGGCAAACGGCCTGTCACTCAAGGCGGCTGTCCTTAATTATGAGTAGCTTTAAACCATAGTAAAATGTATAGGGGTGAGTTATATAAAAATTCAGCCCTTGTATAGTTGTCATAAATGGGAAAATTAGCTATAGAGACCAAAACTTTTTTTTGCACCAGGCTGTAAACATGTTTATTTCTGCTGTAAAGATGAGCATTTTAACCTGTAGGTCTACAGCAACAGGCAGGATTTGAATGTCTTAATTATCGAGCCTTTATATTGAAAGGACCTGATTTCAGCCACAATATTCACAGTAAAAATATCAAACATTAACACAGGTTTACTATTTACACACTGCAATAGATTCATCCCAGACCTCCTGTGGAGTTTATAACAAACTGCAGCCTACTGATCAAACGATACAGGATGTTACTGAATATCTTGCACTGACCTCTTTTGTTATATTATCTGTTTGTGGTTGTTATTTTGGCTGCTGTAAAATTCCACTGTAGAAAAAAAAAAGAAAAAACAAAAAGCAAAAACTCATCCAGTTTAAAAGCTTTGTCAAGGTATTTCCCAAAGAGGCAATAAAACCTCACTGACAGAGCTCCAATGAGAGGTGGAGCCACAGTGAAGGAAGTGAGCTACAACACATTACCTCCAATAAGGTTAAAAGTTAGTGTGAGTGACAGCAGAGCTGCAGTCCACACGAGTCTCTCTGTTTCTCTCTACAGAAACATTCAACTGAATCCAGCAGGTTTTCTTCAACAACAAACTGGTGAGTTCACTGACCTACAGAGACAAGAGGCACCAACTAAGTGGTATGTGAGAGTTTAGTTAAAACCAGGATCTGACTTTTTGTTTTACATCCGTTCTACCACATAGAGAAGATTATGTCATAATGTGTTATCGATAAAAACCAAACTGTCATTTTTACCATAACAGAGGAAAAACCCAAACCACAGTGGCTGAATTCCTGATAACTTAAGTCAGACAGAATACAGCCACAGCCTGAGCAAATTCACAGACTGTTTCCCACATGTCTTTCCTGTACTTGAAAAATGAATTTTGATGCTTAGTAAATAAGATTGTTTTACCACATATATACATGAGGCAGGGGCTGAATCCAACACTAACCAACGAAAAAAGAAACATTAGATAAACTAGTCCAGGCTTGATGCCCTTTGGTTCATGCAGTGTCTGATTCAGCGTGACTGTCTTTTATTGTCTGTTAAGGTATAAAGTTTAAGTTTTACAACTAATTTAACTGTTACAACCTTTGGTAACAGTCTTGAACTTTAAACCCTGTTTTTTCATGCCTAGTTCAAACTACACGCCATTTCTGTTTGTTCCGACAGTCACTATGTCACAGTAGGCGAGTCATAAAATGCCGTGACTTGGCCGACAGACATGACAGACAACACAATGGTCCACATCAATCATCACGGGTCGTCTTTCACGCCGTGTGTCATGTCATCAGGTTATTCTTGTCCTATTTTTAATGTAATTACTGTTATTTCAGTCACTGTGTCTGTTCGTGTGCCAACAGAATGTCGGCCATTTTGAATTTACTGTGCAATTCTTTTGCATTTTTGCCCATTTCCAGAGGTCGTACTTTAACGAACTCCTCCTACAGATTTGATAGCCTGGAAATCCAGACCCAAATCTAGAAAGATTTAGGGTCTGGCTATGAGTAATGTAAATGGCCCAACTCGAGGGGCGGCACCAAGCATGCATTTGAAAATATCACTGCTCGCAATTGGATAACACTACGACCAATCAGAACAATACACAGGGTGACGTATACGCTAAGCTACCAGTGGAGCTAACTGGTAGATTAGACTCTTGCCGTCTCCAGTCGGCAAAACAGAAAAAACGTCCTTCTTGCAAAGGAAAGACTCGAGTGCCGTCTTCTGTTCCTCTTTTAGAGAAAAAGCCAAGTCTAACTCTTTCATTGTAGCGGCCAAAGCCGTTTCAAACAACTGGTGTTCATCTGTAGCCATCTTGCAATGTTTACTGACTGATTCTTTACTTCGTCTTCTCAGCGCTTTCGTCATCTGTTTAGCTCGCCTCTTGCCCGCCTATATCAGATACACCGATGTGATTGGTGCAGCTCGGTTTCATGGGCATAGGTAAAGAGCATCATTACTGATTGCCAGAGTGACTCACTGAGCAAATTCAAATTGTGCTCCAGCGAGAAGTCTGGATTTCCAGTGTACAGATTTGATGCGATTGACTTCAGACTTTGTCTGTGCCATCTTAAGACCTTTGACATGAAAAGTTACTCAGAGTTTGAGTTTTAATCAAACCGTGTGACCGTGTCGAGGCGTCAAACTTCCATGTTTCACCATGAAACAGGAAGTGGTTTGTAACTCCACCATACATCTTCCAATCCACCCAAAACTTCACAGGTTTGATCATAGTCCTGCTGTGAACATATCCATATGCCAGTAATTAGTTGTAGTTATAGTGCCCCCTACTGGCAACAGGAAATTACATGTTTTATGCTGTCATTGACTTCTCCTTGTATGTTTACTAGATCCACGTCAAAATTGCTTTGAAACGCCTCAAGACCTTGATGATGATTTCTGCTGAAAACTGAATTGTTGTCAAATGGCGTTGCTGTGGCGTGGCAGCCATTTTGCATGTCTCACCATAAATCAGGAAATTGTTGTAACTTGAGCATACATTGTCCAATCTGCCCAAAATTTCTCATGCATGATAATAGTCCAAGCTTCATGACATCTATGTAATGTATTGTTTGTGTGTTTTATACTGTTTTATTGCCGTTTTTTTATTCTTTTTTTAAAGATTATTTTTTTGGGCTTTTTTTGCCTTTAATGTACAGGATAGAGTGAAATGGGGGAGAGAGGGAGAGAGTGGGGGGTGACATGCAGCAAATGGTTGCAAGCCGGAGTTGAACCTGCAACCGCTGCGGCAAGGCATCGCCATTGTACATGGGGCGTCGGCACTATCCACTGCGCTACCAACGCCCCACACTGTTTTTTATTCAGACTTGCTCTATTTTATGATTTTTAAAAAAAACTGTAAAGTGCCTTTGAGCATTTGTTAAAAGCGCTTACGAATAAAATGTATTATTATTATTATTATCATTATTATTATTAGAAACTGAATTATTTATGTGGTTAAAAAGATAATTCATCATCATAAGTACAGTAACTAAAAACTCATTTGCCAAGCATGGATTTGGCTTATTGTCTTTGGTTAATACTTATGGTGACATCTTAATTGTTTAAAAAAGTGTTTCACTGCTGGAAAGACAGTCTTTTTGTAATACTAGACTGTCTATGTAGCAGAAAAACATAAATACTTTTGATACTGGTGCTGTATGACCAGAAAAAACAAAGGAAAAGGACTGTGGTATTTGCTTTTACTCCAGAGGTAGAAAACCTATGACTACCAGAATGCACTGTGCTGCATCGAACTAATAAACACTCCCACTTGTGGGTGATGCAATTTGAGTTGCCTGTCCTAAAACAATATAGCAGCCAGCCAGTAACAAACAGTCTCGTGTTACAGTTAAACTGTGAGCTAAAATATGATTCTGAAAACATTTTAGGGGAGAAATAAGCAACATAGTGACAGAATCTTAGTTTTGATCAGCACTGCCTTGTTTCACTATTTGATCTGAGTTTGTTCTTATTCAGAGAGAGAGGGGCACTGATCTTTATTGAAGTAACTAAAGATGTGTAATTACAGTTTGTTTTTTCACACTTTATCCTCAGAGTGTCGATATGTCTGCTGCCAGCTGTCTGCTGACTGAAGATCAGTTTCTGTGCTCCATCTGTCTGGATGTGTTCACTGATCCAGTCAGCACACCATGTGGACACAACTTCTGTAAAACCTGCATCACTGAACACTGGAGTACTAATGTCCCCTATCAGTGTCCAAACTGTAAGAAGGTTTTCTACACCAGACCTGAGCTGCAGGTCAACACTTTCATCTCTGAGATGGCTGCTCAGTTCAGACAGTCAGCTCAACAGAAAGCCAGCAGCAGCAGCTCAGAGCAACAAGTTTCCAAACCAGGAGAAGTTCCCTGTGACGTCTGCACTGGAACCAAACTGAAGGCCCTGAAGTCCTGCCTGGTGTGTCTGGAATCCTACTGTGAGACTCACCTGGAGCCTCATCTGACAAGATCAGGCCTGAAAAGACATCAGCTGATCGACCCTGTGGAGAACCTGGAAGGCAGGATGTGTCTGAAGCACGATAAACTGCTGGAGCTGTTCTGTAAGACCGACCAGATGTGTGTCTGCATGCTCTGCACTGTTTTAGACCACAAGACACATGATGTTGTTCCTCTGAGAGAAGAATATGAAGGAAAGAAGGCCGAGCTGGGGAAGACAGAGACTGAAATTCAGCAGATGATCCAGAAGAGACGACTGAAGATTGAGGAGATCAAACACTCAGTGGAGCTCAGTGAGGAAGATGCAGACAGAGAGATAGCAGATGGTGTTCAGGTCTTCACCGCTCTGAAGGAGTCTGTTGAGAGAAGCCAGGCCGAGCTCATGGACACGATCAAAGAGAAGCAGAGAAAGACAGAGAAACAGGCTGAAGGCTTCATCAAAGAGCTGGAACAGGAAATCTCTGAGCTGAAGAAGAGTAGCACTGAGGTGGAGCAGCTCTCATGCTCTGAAGACCACCTCCACCTCCTCCAAAGCTTCATGTCCCTGAACACTGCT